AGTAGACACAGAGAGTCTTACTTCCAACTTAACATGCATATTAGTGTTAAAAATTAGGAGCCATCCCTTAAAAAAGTAGTTCAAATAATGTCAATTAAAATAATAGAACATCCAATCATCTGTGTTGCTGGATGATTTGCACCAGGGAATAAATGAGTTGGTGGTGGTGGTGGAGCAATCCTGTTGATTCTTCTGGACCTCTCTATCTTTCAATACCATCAGCTATAGTGTCCTTCTGGACCATTTCTCGGTTGGGACGTGGGGAAAATGTTTTGTAGTGGCTTTAGCCCTACCTGAAAGCTGGGGATCAGAAAGTGGTCTTGGGGAACGTGCTCTACCTCAAGGCCTCTCACCTCTTGGGACAACCAGGTTCCATTCTCTTCCCTCTGCTCTTCAACATCCACATGAAACGACTGGTTGAAGACATCTGGAGGTCTGAGCTAAATTGTCACCCATATTTGGATTGCACACGCCTCTCATTTCTATCTTCTAGTTGCTAAGACGCAATAGAAACCCTAATCAGATTTCTAGGCACAGTTTGAGGGTGTGTGCGTTTGAGGGTGAATAAGCCAAAACTTAATCCAGGAGGAGGGTGGGACTTTTAGCAGCATTGGAATCTGAACCCTATTTCCTTTTGCATCCGTGTGAAGCCAGCATGCATAGAAATATCCAGAAAATGGTTCTCATTCAAATTATGATGAGGTGGCAGTTAAGGACTCCTGATACTATTGTAAAAATATAATACACTGTCATAGGAACACAGAGAAAAATCTAGAAAATGAATATATTATAGAAAATAATGATATATATTCAATTCCCTTGAAGATTTCCACTGCCTCCATCCTCGATACATGTATGTACACTATAGTATGTGAAATTCCAGGAAGGGATGCAGTAAGAAAGCAAAAAAAGATTTTTATAGTGAATGTTAAAAAACAGCAATAGTAATTTACCTTGACCACAACAGATCTCTTTTCTAGAAGCCTGGCAGAGCTGCCAGCTACTTGTCACAAACAGCTGAGACAGCCCTGTGAAGTGACAAGCATCTGGAGCTTGCTTGTTCTCTTAAATCTATTGCCTTGATGCCTATTTCCTTGAGAATTTCCATCAGTTTTCTGTTCCATTTTGTCAATTATAGTGAACAACTGTAGCCACGGATTGCTTTTTGGCTAGCAGTCTTGATGTTAATGAAAAGTTGCTTCATATGCTGTGTAGTTTCAGCAGCTTGCTTCCACAGCCTGATTGCAGCATGTGAAGAAGAAGAATACAAGCAGTGGGGCAACTAATGGGGGTAGGTGCAAATGCCCTCTGAAACGTCGTTCAGCTGGATGAATGCCACAACCCTTATGCCTGAAAGTACCGTTATTCCTTGCCATCAATCATTAAAGAAACCACCACATAAGCCAGTAATGTGTCTTGTTGAGCTAAGAGTGACCTGAGAGCTTTCACCCGTCGTCTTGTGGTGCAGCACTCAAAACTGCATAGAGGAAAGAAAATGGCTCTACTCCTGATAGCTCACCATTCCTCGCTACTCCTGCATAGCTATAAATGCTACCAAGGGTTGTTTTGTTTTAAATATGTTTTTATTAAAGATTTTCCATAAGTATCCAGAGTACATTCAGTGTCTCTATTGTCAATTTGTAGAGTCTTTCATACAGGTCAATTCAAGACATTTTTGTTTTAAGTAATGGGTTGAGGGGGAAAGAGAAGAGGATAAAATAGAAAAGGAGAAGGGGGTGGGAGAGGCAGTAAACTTTAATTCTTTACAGCAGGGGTCAGCAAACTTTTTCAGCAGGTGGCCGGTCAACGGTCCCTCAGACCCTATGGGGGGCTGGGTTATATTTTTTGGGGGGAAATGAACGAATTCTTATGCCCCACAAATAACCCATAGATGCATTTTAAATAAAAGCACACATTCTACTCATGTAAAAACAGGCAGGCCCCACAAATAACCCAGAGATGCATTTTAAATAAAAGCACACATTCTACTCATGTAAAAAACACACTGATTCCTGGACTGTCTGCGGGCTGGATTTAGAAGGCGATTGGGCTGGATCCGGCCCCCGGGCCTTAGTTTGCCTACCCATGCTTTACAGAATGTATGGTGCTTTTCTGTGTGTGTTGCGTGGGTAGGTATCTTATTTTTGCTGGTGGAGCGAGAGATCAGAGGGCCCAGGGCATGGTTGGTTACAGTGAGTTTTGATTGTATGTGAGAGGGGTGTTGATTGATTTGTGTGTTGTTGGGGGTGGGAATCAGGCATTGCCTTATTGGCCTGTGCATGTGATAAAGAGGAGCCACACAGGGGTGAAGGTGTCCTCCCTTGTTTGTCCACGTGATAGTTCCAGTTTGTTGGTTAGTTTTTCTTGTAGAGCGGCCCTATACAGTTTTGTACCAGTGGTGAAAGGACATTCTCGATAGGACCCACTAGTGTCTAGATATGACACTCCTAACTACCAAGAGTAAGTGACATGAATTCTTTGTCATGTGAGTGTGCATTATTGTTTTGGAAGACACATGTAGGGCCAATTCTGGAGTTGCTTCTATTACCTGTTTGCAGATTTCTTGTGAGACTGGTATCCAGAAAGGTTGGATTTTGGAGCATTCCCACCACATGTGGAGGTATGTGCCTGGGCAGTGCAACCTCTCCAGCACTTAGATGAAGTTCCTGGGTGTATCATTGCTAGCTTAGTGGTGTTAGAAGTCTGTTAGGCAGTGTAGCCCTTTGGCTTGCCATCCCTCATTTGGAAACTGTGTGATGCATTATGGAACTGTGGGTGATTGACCAGGGATATTAGTGGGGATAGGGCTAGGGACAATGTTCCTGCTTTTTCTTTCCATGCTTTAAGCATGGTCTGCATGGACCTGTTTTGTGTCATGGGGTTTTTCTTTGGTTTTGAGAAATGGGTGGGGGTGTTTCCGATCATATCTGTCTCCATGTGCACCCATTGTTTCATTACGTCTTCTAAGATGTATGAGATTATGAAGCATGCTTGGTTGTCAAGGTATAGTTCTGTATTGGGAATTCCCCATCCTCCTTCTGAAGAGGGAAGGTACAGGAAGTTGGAGCTTTTTGTGTGAGAAGATAAGTGAGTGTAGCTTTTTCTGCCACTTCCGGAGGTGGGTTGAGGGGATCCTAATTGGAAGGATTCGGAATAAGCAGGTTAATTTCAGGAGGGTTATCATTTTGATCATGGCTAGTTTGTCTGAGTGAGTGAAGTTGGTTCTACTCCATCTCTTCAGGTCTTTATTGATTTCCTGCCAGAGTAGGGGTCTAGTTGTGAAAGTACAGCATGTTTAGGTTTCTGATTATTTATACCCCTAAGAATCTAAATTTGGTTCAGCAAAGTTTTATCTGACTCCCTATTCTCCATCTCTCTGCATTTGCCTACTTCTCAGCCAATCTTCCTGACTTTTATCTGCCTGCCATCTCCTTGTGTCTCTGCCCAGATTTCTTTGGATGGACTCCTTGTCTTGGATACTGGCTTGTGATTGATCTTGCCTCATCCTTCTCCTGCAGTACATGTGCTCCTGCCACTCTGAGCAGCAATCCCACGAAGCAGGTTAGACTGAGAGAGATTGGCATTCCTAAAGCCACCCACTGAGTTTTATAGCTGAACAAGGAACTATGTCAGAATTTCCCCCCTTGAAAACAGCACCCTGGCAAACCATTGCATCAGACTGGTTCCCACACTGACTGCTTTATTTGTGTGTGTGATTTCAGTGATATGTGGAGTTGTGAGGGTTTGTGGATATTCCTGCCCAATAAAATGAAAAGTACTAGCCTATTACTCAAATGGTGCAAGTAATTTGGGACAGGAAGATACACACAAACACAGGCTGAATTTTCAAAAGTACACAAAATTTTGTTCCTTTTGATATAATTTGTAGTTTGACCATTGTACATAAAATCCTTAAAAACATCTAGTTTTTTTATAATTGGTAAATAAAGATGATTACTTGGCAAGGCTGTACATTAATCTTTCTGTGAATTTTTAATATGGTCCCTGATAGGCACTGAACAATGATGGTTAATGGATGTAATAAATAGTTACATCCTCAGCACAGTTTGACTGAAATGGTTTTCAGAATGTCTCCTAATTTAATCGTATAGCTCTTTCAACTTTGAAATTTCCATTAAATTTTAGTGTAAACAAGAAAGTGCTTCTTTCCACGTTTCCACGTCTCCATCCATACAATGTAATTTTCATCATCATCATCACACCCCGTTAGTGTTTCCCTCTTGGAATCTACCACAACCATTTAATGACTGCAAATCTAATAAATAGCAAAACAAATGTAAGCTCTGTCCTTGCCAAAGAGTAAATTGAGTGTAGATGAGCTTCATAAACTAATTTAACAGGTGGCTTTGCAGCTGCCTCCCAAACATAAGTCAATTATACACTTAGTATAATTTAAATGAACAAGAACTGAGTTGCTGCTTTTTGTTTGTTTGTTGATTTGTTCAAGCCCAAGTACCAAAAGAAACATACACCTCATGTTCAAATAAGTGGTAAATGAACACCCGATAGAATATATATATATATATTCCATTATCTTTTAAGCTGTTCTATGTAGAGCAGAGGAGGGACAGGTACAGAGTAATCCTATCCTCTGATTTGCCCTTCTAGGCTTTTTAGGAAGTGGCAGAGGTTTCCTCTGCTAGAGAGGGGTCTCCACTGGAGATTCCTACTGCACATGCCAAAAGCATAGGCAAAAGCTATTACTGGTAGTGTCTCCACGAGCAACAGATAATATAAGCAGTTGAAACAGATAGGGTCTGAGTGTGAAGCTGGGTTGGCCAGGGATCAGCTGGCTCCTAAGGCCATTCAGTTACTGACGATGGATCTAATCTGGGCTTCTCTTCTGTGCTAGCCTGGAGCTGGTGCAGCAAAACTTGACAGTTTCACAGTCCCAATACCTAGTTACAGGTAGGTAGCGATGTTGGTCTGCTGTAGTCGAAACAAAATAAAAAATTCCTTCCAGTAGCACCTTAGAGACCAATTCAGTTTGTTATTGGTATGAGCTTTCGTGTGCATGCACACTTCTTCAGATATCTGAAGAAGTGTGCATGCACACGAAAGCTCATACCAATAACAAACTTAGTTGGTCTCTAAGGTGCTACTAGTCCCAATACCTTCAGCCCTGGCCAGCATGAATGGCAGAGCTTCGCATGCAACAGTGGTATCTCCATTTTATGCAGCCCCACAGCCCTAGTCAGGAGTTAGGACTGCAACTGCAACACTTCTGAGGAAGGTTAAATTCTTATCTCTGTGACTTGACCTGCATCTCCTCAGCTAACAGTTTCTTACCGCGCGAGACTTCTTGTTTGCAGTGGCAGTAGCGCAGCTTTCCTTTCTTTTTCATAATGTATAGGCCAGGGGTCTGCAAACTTTTTCAGTAGGGGGCCTGTCCACTGTCCTTCAGAACTCATGGGGGGCCGGACTATATTTTTTGGGGGAAATGAACAAATTCCTATGCCCCACAAATAACCCAGAGATGCATTTTAAATAAAAGCACACATTCTACTCATGTAAAAACACGCTGATTCCTGGACCATCCGTGGGCCGGATTTAGAAGGCGATTAGGCCGGATCCAGCCCCCGGGCCTTAGTTTGCCTACCCATGGTATAGGCTATTGCTGGCAGAAGCAGCAGTAACTACTGGCAGCCTGGCCATCATTATGATCATGATGCCTCAGATCTAGCCTAATTCTGAAGGGGGGCGGGGAGATGGTGTCAGCCACAAAATATGGTGGAGAACATTGGGAGAAAATTCTACAAAGTGGATCACCTCCCCCCACTCGGATTCAGAAAAGAAAAAATATCAGAAGTTTTCAAGGAAAAGGGTCTTCTGAGAAATTTCAGCTCAGCTCTGATTTTAAGGTAATAATCATAGAATCATAGAATTGCAGAGTAGGAAGGTACGCTGAGGAACATCTAGTCCAACCATTTCTGATACCAAATGGTTTTGAAGTTGGGCCAGTTTTTCAAGGATTATTGTTTTGAAAGTGGGCTGCATTTCAAGAAACCAATGCTAGCATTTACATATTCTGAAACAATATGTATGTTTCATGAAAAGCAAAATTAACTGGGCATATATTTTGTGAGCTGTGTTATGTACTTCTTTTAAAGGTATTATTGTTGGAAAATCAAAGGATCTGCTATTTTTACAGTGCTTCCATTAAATCCTTTCAGTGGTGCTCCCTGAGGCAGCAATTACTATTATTTCTTCAATTTGATTCAAATTCTTCGATCTCCCTAGAAGTGGATTAGTTTTTTAAATTACCAAGGGATGCCTGATATTATAGGAAGTAGTTGCTTTATCCTAGAATGTCAGTGTCTATTAAGGGAATCTTTAATCCACATATTACAGACATAATATGCTATTAGAGCACCAGTGAGGCTAGAAAGGTGTATCCTGGCAATTTCTTCTTGAGGAGCTGTTAGACTACAAAACGTTCATGCGATATACTATAATGGTTCCATAAGGATAGGTAATTAGAGTACATTATGTACTCTAAACTGGGGATTTTTTTTTAATTGACTAAACCATGAGTACAAGGTTACTTTGTATGCTAAATATTATGATCTGAAGCAGTGGAATTTGCAAATAACATTTGCTTATACTCATAGCATACTGATTAAAAGTTGTTGTTGTTTAGTCGTCTTAGTCATGTTTGACTCTCCGTGACCCCATGAACCAGAGCATACCTTGGAAATTCTCACTTTCTTCTCAAAGCTTCTCCTTTTTTATGTCCATGGAGTTTTCTTGGAAAATACTGGAGTGGTTTGCCAATTCCTTCTCCAGGTGGATCACATTTAGTCTAAACTCTCGGCTATGACCTGTCCATCTTGGGAGGCCCTGCACGGCATAGCTCATAGCTTCTCTGAGTTATTCAAGCCCCTTCACCACGACAAGGCAGTGATCCATGAAGGGGACTGATTAAAAGTAGGAATAAGTAAAATGCCAATTTCCTCCTGCACCAGCAGCACCTCTATTAACAACACTTTACAAATACTTGACTACATAGGTCAGAAATGGGGAATATTAGGTGGGAGTGGTGGTTAAGATGTGAAGGCCAGGAAAAAAACCCCAGGTTTACTTAAAAAAATAAAATATTTTGCAGGTGTGTGTGTATCTGGCCCACAGGACTCTCCTTCCATCCTTCACACTCATCGTTCTGTTCATATTCTCTCTCCATGTCTCATTCCGTCCCTGTGTTCATAAATATTTGCTCTTTGTCAGTGCTTATTTCAAACAATATATATGTAATATGTAATATGTTGAACAAGATTTCTGCTGTGTTGCACTCGTTGAAGAAAAATGGTGGTTCAGCCCTCTGGGTACTGTGGAAGCTGGAACGTGTGATGGAATACAACTTATGTGATACGTGTGGCATGCTAGAAAGGGGACATGCTAGGCTAGACTCCGACAAATAATGTCAGATAAGCAGGGAATTTTAATAATTAATGCTGCTTTTATCATTGTTTTATGTCATGGGCAGGCAAACTAAGGCCTGGGGGCCGGATCCGGCCCAATCACCTTCTATATCCGGCCCACAGACGGTCCGGGAATCAGCGTGTTTTTACATGAGTAGAATGTGTCCTTTTATTTAAAATGCATCTCTGGGTTATTTGTGGGGCATAGGAATTTGTTAATCCCCCCCCCCAAATATAGTCCGGCCCCCCACATGGTCTGAGGGACAGTGAACTGGCCCGCTGCTGAAAAAGTTTGCTGACCCCTGTTATGTTATACGTCATTTCATGCTTTTTTAATGTTTCAGTTTTTAATGCTGCCTTGAGGGTCTGATTTGGATTAAAAACACATTAATTCAATAATAATAAAAAGATGCAGATATGTGTATGTATAGGGAAGGACAGTAGCTCAGTTGTAGAGCATCTGCTTTGCTGGTAGACGCTCCCAGGTTCAAAATCTCAGACATCTCGAGGTACAGCTGAAGAAAATCCTTGTCTGAAATTCTGAAGAGCCACTGTAAGTCAGTGAAAACAATACTGAGCTAGACAGACCAAAGTGTTTGACTCAGTGTAAGGCAGCTTCCTATTTTCCTATGTTTTGTATTCATTGCTCAGATTCAAGTGTCTAGTAGCTGGGATTGTGCTGTCTGCTGTTTTGCAGGTATTTCGCCTCTGAAACTGTGTACGCTGTTGATTCCCTAAGCCTCTCTCACAAGACAAAAAGGGAGGGAGTGAACAGCTGGAGTTTCAACTGCTTAAGTACTAAACACAGAGGTGATAAATGGCTAAATCCGAAGGGCAAATGATATAGGCGTTGTGAATATGCATTTTGGTTTTTATTAAAGCAGATCAGAATCCACTTTCAAGGCATAAAACTGGGTAGTTAGCAGTCAGCCATTTTCAGCCTCCTTTGTTTCCTTCATCGCAATAGAAACATATGTAACATCTGGAGGGCCGAGGTTGAGGAAGCCTGATCTAGAGGGTACCACAGTGGCTATTCGTGGCCAGGGATTGAACCTGGGATCTTCTATGTACAAGGCATCTGCTGTACTACTGAACTATGGTTCTTCACAAGAGAAATTAGATTTATTTCCATGTGGATTCTCCAAGAAGGAACGCTACCCAGGATATTAATTTTTGAGCAGTTGTTTCTTAAAGGATCGTCTCATAACTGTCTCCATGTGACAGAATCCACAGGAAGCTATATTAAAAACATTCCCACAGAAGCCAGATTTGTCTCTGAGAAAGTTTTACCATTTCTTTTAAAATTAAGTGAAATTTTAACTCTAAGAAAAGCTCTTGGATTTAGAAGCCCAGAGTGAAGATATTCCCTAATGTGTTCTTGTTTATCCTTGCCACATAGCTGTCTGCCAGTTCGATACAAATGTATTGTAAAAGATTCTGCATTTCCCCTGGCTCTCAATTCCCTTGGTAGAATTCACTCTGTCATTTAAGTCCTGCTTTGGGATAAAATAATCATCAAAGTTCTCTGTTGCGCTTTCAATTTCAGGTAAGAAGAACTGAAATGTTTTGTTTTGCTCCTCTTCCTAGGGGAATATAGGTAGAATAAATCTTTATCTCTGTGATTCGCAGACCTGTGAGCTACAACCCCAACAGAGGTTGCCAAAGAAATTGATTAGATTATCATAAAGTCCCATCGAATCTCAGCTTTAAGCTGCTTATAACACTGAAATGGAAATGGAAGTGTGCCTCCCAGTGATCTTCAGTGCCTACACAAATCTCATCTCTATACATCATTCCCCACCCTCCTTCATGCCCCTGACTTTAACCTAAAATAAACAACTCTACTTGTGGGAACATGTCTGAGCAGGAGTACTTAGGGTATTAGGCTCTAAACACAAAGCAAATAATAGTCTCTTGCGATGTTATTTTTCTAGAAAAAGAGGTGTCACAACTCACTGTGAGCACCTGAGAGGTGCTGGAACCAAGTTCTGGTGAGTTCCAGCTGGAAAAAAAAGCCCTGGTCTCTTGGGTTAAAGAGTTGAGTCAGAGTACTGCAATGACCTAATCAACAGGATTAATGTAATTTCCATATATACTTCAACTGAGATTTTGGCCTGGTTTTGGTATGGAGACTGCCTTGGTCATGTTTCAGGAGAGAGATGAACCAAGTATGACTCTGTTGACCCCCCCATCTCTTAGTGGCTTCTGATGGTATCCTTCTGGGGTGACTGTTTGAGGTGGGTATTGGGGGTACCACACTGCAGTGTTCCTGCTCCTAATTGGCTAGCTGGCTGGCTCCAGAAGGTGGTTCTTGGGCAGCACTGCTCAGCTCCATGGATACTCCATTATGAGGTCGCACAGGGGTTGGTTCTGTCCCCCATGTTGTTTGACATTGACATGAAACTGCTGAGTGGGTTCATATAGCATTATGGAGCATATTGTCCATCAGCATGCTGATGACACATAGCTCTGCAGGTGTGGCCATGGATGTGCTTGGTTGCATTAAAGGACTAGAACAGGGACAGTAAGCTGAAGAATAATCAGGACAAGGCTGAGATGTTGTTAGTGGGTAGTTCTTCTGTCTAGACAACTGGTTTACAGCCTGCTCTAGATAAGGTCACACTCCTTCTGAAAGAGTGGGTTTCTCTTTTTGGGGTTCTCCTGAATCC